AGACCACTGGATTTTTTTTTGCGCCAGATATAAAGTTATAGAGTGAATGAAAATAGGAACAATCACTCTCGATGGACTAAAAAAAAAGTCTGAATATATTAATAATCTAAATTTTTGTAAATCACATTAGCTCTCTTTATAATGTTAACCGAAGAACAGTAAATGTTAACGATAAAGCCGGAAAGAGCTTGGAAAAAAAACAGGCAACTATTAAGTAAAATCGCGAAGTGCAGTCCATGAACTAGAATACCTCTTTTTTCTGCTGCAAAAGGGGCTGTGCTATGTGTTAAAAATTTGTTTTATTTTTATAAAAAAATATTTTTTTAACATTTACCAACGCTTTATACCTATATGCATTTTATTTTCTAAATATGAAATCAATATTTATCTACAAGCATTACATCACTATTTCCTATTAATATGGACAAGTCCAAAAGTTCCGTAAGTTTGACAGATGAATTATAAAAAAAATCCTTCAATTTAATTTAAAAAGTTAATTAGTTCTTCTATTAAACAGCATATTTGTGATGTCATTTCTGTTTTGAAGAGCAACTTCTTTTTCATTTTCATTACCAAAGTTCAACATTGTCAAACATTATGGTCATGCCTCAGTATAAAGTTATGCAAACCCTTGCAAACATAATTACATCAGTTGCAAAATCAGTTTCGTCTACATCTAAATTTTTTAATATTAATTTATTAAAGAGTGGAAATGACCATTCAATAACTGATTCTATTGCAGAATAATGATTATTATAATCAACTTAAATGGCCATCATCGTCAGATGGCAATTCACCAGTGAATCACAAAACAAAATAATTTTTTGAAGCAACTCTCAAAATACATGTTTTGTATTTGGTCCTCCAAGTGGTCGTGGTTGTCCCTTCGTTAAAATAAATAAACCAGTCTCTTCAACCTTTCCTGATGCTTGACATTTTGTTCCTGTGCATCCGAGATATCTTTTCCCAATAACTTGAATATACATATATTATTTATTAACCTAAAAACCATTTGTTGGGAGGTTTCGTTCTTGTTCAGCATCGTAATCTACCTACCCTATGAATTTACGACGTCAAATTAAATGAAATGTTATTTTAAAAATGCGCTAATTTTTTGTTACCAGAACGATCCTACACCAGCTTTTCTATTCTTTGGACATTCTACACTGGCAGCAACTTTTCGTGTCAAAATTGACTTGACATCGGTGAAAATTAAAAATGTAAAAAAAATAATTTTACACGTCTCTCGTGGGAACGCAGCAGTTGTATTTGGCTTATGGCGCCATCTACTGGACAATGAATAACCTGTCAGGATAACCTGTCAGTAAAAATTCAAATGTCAAAAGAATAATCAAAGTTGTCAAATTTATCTTTAGATGGTGCACTTATCATAAAAGTATCAAAAGCACACATTTTGAATGCATCTAATAGAGACATATTATCCATTTTCCAGTTTGTGTCTTGGAATTATAAGAACCGAACTCATTTTTATAGTTCTCATGCTTTTTGCATGTATCCCGGCGATCACTTCGGTTCAATATTATCAACACTACCATCATTGATGGAAGCATGGAAATACTGGACATGGGGGATGATGGAGAAGCTTGTGCAAATACTCCAGAATAACACATTTACTTATCAAAATCCCATCCAGCTAACGAACGTTATAGTGAATGTACCTTTAAGCCTTCATACATATTTTGTTTCTAAGCCTTCTTAAAAAGCTAGTTGACAGAACTGTTCAGAAATTGAGTATGATTAGCATATGCAAAATAAAACATTCCATTTTCTTCCTCATGTCTGTAACACTAACTAAAACGTCAGCTTACAGGTATGGAAATTTTTTCGTGGAATCGAAGAATGTCATAAAAGCAAGAGCTCCCAGGAACAATATTTCCATGTAGACGTGTTGATAACATTGAACTATGGTCGTACACGAGATCAGAAGGGGGCTGTTGCAAAAAAGATGAGAACTCCAAAAAGGAATTCGGTTCTTACAATTCCAAGGCACAAACTGGTCAACATAGATAATATGTCTCTATTAGATGCATTCAAAATGTGTGCCTCTGGTGGTATTATGATAAGTGCACCAGCTAAAGATAAAGTTGACAACTTTGATTATTCTTTTGACATTTGAATTTTTACTGACAGGTTATCCTGACAGGTTATTCATTGTCCAGTAGATGGCGCCATAAAACAAATACACTGCTGCATTCCCACGAGAGACGTGTAAATTTAATTTTTTGACATTGATTTTAATTTTCACCGATGTCAATGTGATTTTGACACGAAAAGTTGCTCAGTGTAGAATGTTCAAAGAATGGAAAAGTTGTTGGATCGGTCCGGTACGGTCGAGCGCAAATGTTTGATTTGCGATCAAGGAACTATAGTAATACTCTCGACTGATAAAAAAGTACAATCAATAACTAAAATCTTTCTTCGAGTTTAAAGTTGGTGACGAAAAACGCAAGATTTACATTATTTTTGATCCTGAAGTTTATTTGTTGAATAACCAAATGAAAATTAATTTTATTCCAAAAATCAATTACCGTCATATTGGAATGCAACAGGATGCAGCTAAAATGATTGTTACACTGGCTACTCAATTTTTTTCAAATTCTATGTACTTAGCGTATCAAGCTTATAGTATGATTAAACCGAACGAATTTCCTGACAATGATACAACCGCAGATTTCTTATTGGACATGGATAAATTATCTGATTCACTAAACTCGAATCTCCTTCAGCCAACAGTTAATTCAAAATTACATTTTGCCATAACCGAAACATCTGAACACATTGAATTTTTAAATGAAATATTGCTACACTTTGCTGATAGCAGATTTGAAAAAAAAATTAACAAAAGGCTATTCCACCTGGCATCACAGAAATGATGCTAACTATTAACAGTGTTTTAAAATTATTGAAAACTAGGCGTCTGAATCAATATCCTCTCGAAATTTTATTTGCAGTTATTCGTCAACAAAATTGATGTTCAGTCAATCCTTCTACTAGATGAAATTTATTATATTTGTGGGTATCTAACCCGCAATTTTTTTTAAGATTTACAAAAACTGTCACAAATGTGTAGATTTTCTAATACTCCCGTGCGGTAAAATCCCGAAGTGGCTCGGATTCGTGGGAAAGGAAACTGACGTGTAAAGTGACGCTTCCCGCACGCTAGATCAGTGGGTAATTAGGTATTTTACAGAGAGGAGTAGAAAAAATTGTTGTTGTTGTTGTTGTTTTTTCTACTCCCGGGATTTCACCGCTCGGATTTGGGAGCAATTGGATGTTTTCGGAGATATTTCCCACGCCTGAAATTTGACATTTGTCTATTCTGACGGCCATGTCAGTGAATGTATTCATGTTGTTTGGCGCAAATGACGCTTCCCGCCCGCTAGACAGATGGGAGTAGAAAAACACTATTACAGCTGTACAAAAGTGGAATACCAAGTTTGAGGAAATTATTCGTAGTTGTATTCATGAAAAAAATATATCGGCACATTTATACTCAAAACTGAGCTCAGAATTACCAGCTTTTCAATAATGTTATTCTACAACATTATGATTGAATATATTTATAAAAACGCGATGCTTCTGGCAAACACGATTCATCAGACGTGACCTCAAAAAGACTGATACTGCAACATCAAAAAAGATAAAGAACAGTAAATTGTCTAAATTCGCAAAAACAACAAAAAATACCAATGAAAAGACCAAAGCAAAGTGACGACCAAAGAGGAGAAATAGAGGATGAAGTACCATTAAAAAATCAAAATAATTTTATATGTATTATTTAATTTTTAAACTCTTATATACGTTAAAGTATATTTTCATATCTACATTTCTTTTATTAAAATATATTTTTTCATATTACTAAGTACAATGATAAATTTTTAGCTGTTTCAGCAGTGATTAGTATAGGAATATGTTTTTTGAGAAATTTTATCATTATAACTAAAAGGTGTCTTTTAAGAAGACTTTTGTTATTATGAAAGTTTTATATTATGTTTTTAAATAGAATACATTTTATCGTATATTAAATGATTTACTAAAAAAAGCGTGCTTTTAGCTGATTTTTACAATATAATTATTATTATTAATTATCATTATTTTAAGATTATCATTAATCTTTTTTTTTATGATGTTTATTAATTTAATAAATTTCAGTAATTGTCAACTATTTCGACATAATTTTTTTTTCACATTTTAATTTTCAAAATTTAAATTAAATTTAACAGTACGTCCCGCGCGTTTTCCGCTTTCATGACTGGACACAATCACTAGATGACGTTGAAACTCGTGTACGCTTGCCTCTAATGGGAGCCTCCCTTCTATCTTATACTCTTTGGTTAAAAGTATGTTTACAAACCTGGTAAAATTATGGAAACAAAAAAATATTAGGCATACATAACAACTATTTATAGGTGGTAGGTAAATAATAATATGTATTTATGTGTAACCTCGTATGTACATGATATAAAAAATACATATTACTACATATGCTTAAATCTTTATTTTACAATTTTACCATACTTTCTAATTTTTTTTTTTAATTTGGGGTTCGGAGATGGGTTCTGCCATTTTTTTTCTCTAGAATTTCACTTGTGCCATTCGATGATGTTGCTGAAGTCTTTTTGATCTAGATAATCCTGCTTCTGTTGGTGGCTTCTGGTAAAATAATAATAGGGGGGGAACAGCAGTTTTTTTTAGAATCTTTTTTAAAGGTAAACCTAAAATTTAAATTGTGTGGTGAATTTAATGTGTTACTCAAGACAAAAAACCCCAATAACTCATTTTGTAAGTTTCTTCTACATCGAACTATCCACTCGTTTCGAATACTTCGGGATACTAGATCTGTCTCGATGGGAAAGCGATGAAAACTACATTTTCGAGAACTTGCTTTTTCATCAAAATAATTGTTATTGCACCCATACATGGCACATCTCGTTCCAGTCATACCTAACTATTTTTTGATATAACTTATCCCACTGAAAAAGGTATACCTATATTATTATGTGTAATATTTTGAGCTTACCTCCTAAATAATAACACCGCTAATAAGCAGCACGAACACAAAACTTTTAAGTCTTTGTTAAAGGTTAAAAATACTGTTTTTCTCAGTTCTCGCCACTCAAGCACATACAATTTTAAAGTAGTTGTTAAAGCTTAAAAACACTGTTTTGTCCAAATTTTTTTTTAGAGAAATACAATTAACACAAACATTAGCGCACTACTCACGGGTTTAAATTATTTTAATTGTTCAAACAACACAAAATACAACGGTTTAATACGCCTTCAAATGCATTGACAGAATACACAAAAAGCGCTAGAGGACTTCGCTTACGTCAGAAGCGACCACGTGCGATCGATAATTTTGGCAAACCTATGTCTTATGGGATTACGCAATCCTATTCAACCAATATAATATAGTTGTCTATGATCCTATTAGGTTTACGATTCGTGGTTGAGACCATATAATGTTTAAATCGACAAATACTCATTCTTTGCATATCCGTTAATTTAAATTTAATTTAACCTCTTAAAATGAATAGCAACCCCATCAGTACAGAAATAAAAGCCAAATCGAAGTTATTGTACGATTTGCTACAAGATTTAAATCATGTTAAAGAAATTTTGCCTTGGTTTAAGGTAAGTTAATAATAATAATTCACATAGTGCTAACCCCTCAATTTGTAGGATTTTTGTAAATACCTAAGTGAGACTATTATCTGTATTAAGGAATGGTGTATGGAGATACCACGGGAAAGCTATTCAAAGAACAGCTTAATATTATATTTGCTCCAATTGGTGGCGATCCTTGCCAACTTGATTAACATATTTGTAAAGGAATTTGAGCTCAAGCAGCAAATTAACGTAATTATATTCTTATAAACTACTTTTTGCATACTATTTAAGAACTCACAAATAAAAGTAAAACAATTCTTTTAGTAAAATTCACATGAAAATTACACTTCAGTAACAAATTTAATGACGTGTTACAAAGTCATATTGAAATGTTTGATACAATTCCTTTAATTTAATAGCAGTCTAGAAATTTTATCAAAAAGAACCTTATCAACTGCCTCGATGGAATTATTGATGTTTTAATATCACAAAAAAGTGTAGTCCAGTCAAGTAATTTTATAACCTTCATGGATTCAGCTTTAGACAAAATTCACAGTTTACCTTGCAGTGAAGATGGACATCTAGTGAAAAATTTTTTTGACTGCAAAAGTATATTTGAAGATGTATTGGGTCATGCAATGTCAATCGCCCAAGTTGCATTAATAGAAGACAGCAAAATTATTAGAGGCAGTGCACAGATGGTATGAAATCCAATTTTATATGCAGAGTGGTTTAAAGGGGACACTTTAGAAAACACAAACTTCTAGACAGGAAACCTATTGGAGAAAACTATACATACCTATTTTCAACCCACTCCCGTAACTTAATTGTTTCTAAATATTTTTTGATTCTGTAAAAACATTCCACTTCGGTTTTTTAAATTGATCTTATGTTTTAATAAATTATAAATTGCTCCTTTTAAATTACCTGGTAAATTTTGTTAATCTGGAAACATATTCTAAAATACCCAGTGCCTACAGCTTAGTGGATATTTTTAAAAGTGTTAAATAAAATAAGAACAAAATTTAAATGAAGTCACTAACTGAACCCAAGATTAAATTAAATAATCATTGGTTAGCAGGGCTATTTTGGGGGTTCCTATTCTTACTGATTTTGTAAATTTCTGTATCTTCATATTAAAATCACAGAAAAACCTTTAAAAGCAAAACCCGATAAATAAAAATGAACAATTGTTTGACAGTACTTGAGGTGTTTTCCGTGTTCCCCATCTCACCACCACATTAAATTATTATTAAAAATTGCTGCATTTGTCTCTTGCTTAAAAACTAAGTACATGATATATTGCTTGTTGTAGGTACTTGAAGCATTAGACTTACTATTTAGAGAAATTCATAAGCACCCATTAAATAAGGCAATGGTTCAATTGTACAGCAATTTGTGCAACGATCGTTTGTGTTCCCTGGAAAGAAAAATAAATAACACAATACTAAAATTAGCATTAAAGGTCTTTTTAGAATACACAGATCACATTGAAGCAATTGCAACATTTTGTTTAAATAACAGCAATAGGCATAATATGGAGGAGTTGGATGCTAAAGTAGTTGATTTTGACTTGCACGTTGATCGCATAATACAGATTGGATTGTTTGCTGTTTCGTGCTGTTCAAATACATATGGTAGGAATATTTTTTGATGAATTTTAAATTTATCATTTCTATTACAAACGAGACGCATAAAAAGTATAGTTTTTTTTTTTGTTTTTTAAGTTGTTAAATATTGAAGTCAAAAGAATATGAAATTGTTTTTTCAGATGGCGTAAAAATACAAAGTTGCCTGGCAAGCCTTGAAGCATTGGAAACTGAACTTGTACCTGCATTTACAGCAGTATTGAAGAATCCAACAAATGAAAATTTATCGCACTCTTTTATACTGAAGCTAAATTGGCTACACCAAGCAAATAAATTAAAAACATACATTTTTCACGTTATAGATCCTTACGCATTTTGCAAGGTATGAATGTTTAATTATTGTAGTGGGCATTAAACATGAAATTTTTGAACATATATATATAAAGTAAAAAATTAAAAAAAGCAAATAATAGTATAAAACTCTACCTACAGAAAGACTAAAAAAATATTATTTTTTCGAATTAGCCTTCTGTTGAAATTGATCCATATATGACATGAGTGTATAGTTTATCAGTAAATCACCATGCTTAAATAGAATTTTATTTTGCAGATTGTATCCATAGAGGCAAATCAATACATCGAACAAATTTCTGAAGCTATAAGATCAGAGAGTTTCTCAGACATAAATAAACTAGTTCAAGAGCTAATAAAAGTATCCAATGTTTTAAATATGTTCATCAGCACTACTTTGGAACGGTCAGATAATAACATTGAGAAAATAAAACCAATTTTTGACAATTTTTTAAAAGGTAATTTTTCAGATTTCAAATGAATGTTCACATTACAGTATGTAGGCATTCTAAAACTGATAATGCTGTCTAAACATTACTTCTTTGGACTAGAGCTTTATGTGTGTTTTAGTTCATCATGAAGTAAAGAGTGCAAAAGATATTTTATTAAAAGAACCTTGCCGACATCCTGAAAGCTTTCTAAGGGTCTTAAAGAGGTGTAAATTATTAGGAAATCAGATGAAAGCAATGTATTGCTTTTTGGAGGAGGAGTCTGTACCAGAGAAAAGTAATAATAGTCTACAATTACCTACACTAGAATCTAACAAACAACAAAAACAAAGTGTTGGTTTTCCTTTAATTGAACATATTATTAATCGCGGGCAGCAGATATTACAGGAAAGAAGTATTCTATATCCATCTAAAATTAACAAAGTTGATGGAGAAAATATGCTTCAACCAAGTAATTAAGTCACTTAATTATATGTCATTTCATTGTACCTAAAAATGCTCTTTTTAGATTTATTTAACTCCAAGTGTAAAAGTTTGAGAAAAATGAGTTTTATCAATGTATTGGTTAAGAAGGAAGCCTCATTTGATTTACAAATAACTGGTAAGAATTATTGTATTTTTTCACATTATCTTCAATAGTGCCAATTTCAGATATTTTGAATGAATTAACAATCATAGGTTCAAGCTTCAAGGAATAAATGTTTAATGTATTCCGTTGTTTTATTGTTATTTTTTTCTATTCACCATAGGTAATAGACTTGAATGACCGGATTTAATTAAGATTTCTAAATAAAACACGAACCTTGATTGCCAAGTTTTCACCAGACAAAAATTCAAGCTAATTTATAAGTCTAATGCAATGTCAAATCACACAACCAAGTAGACATCTAGCTTAAGTAGCAGATATTTCGATTACAGCAAACATAAGCCTTTATCATATTGTCGAAGATGAGCGGCTTTTCCTGGCAGATGTATGTGTTTCGCATGAATCCATTAGTGAGACCTAGATGTACTTGTGATTTGAATTTACTAGCCATTAGCTATATATTCTACAATGAAGATTATATGCCATAACTTTTTGTCTTAAAAGGTAAAAATTTATATACAAAAAGGTACTTTCAAAAAAATCTCAGAAAAACATTTCTTTAAAACCAAACTTTTTTTTCTTTAAATGGCACTGTCGAATTTTTGTAAGGCGCATAAGACTACCCAATCGATGGCATATGAAAAGTATGTAAGCCTAGTCACATTCTTTATTGTAAGAATAATAATTTTTAAATTATTTTCATTCAAAATATTTTTTTATCTTTAAAAATAAAAAGTTATACAGCAAAATAATATATAGGTATATCTCAAGTAACGTACTCCGAGATTTTAGAGAAGTGTAAACATATTTGCTGCTTCTCGTAATTTGCAACTGAAAAATCTTTGACAAATATGACAGCCACGTGTCATTTTTTGTGATTTCAATAATTTCTAGCATGTCTTGGCTACACTCTAGCTTTACACGTATGGATATTTATATATGGTGAGTTAACAAGGAATGGTCGTAACATTTACTATAAAATTTAGGGGGCTTCAATATTGACAAGAGTAAAGTTGTTTTCCCCACAATGATATGAGTTTCCCTTTTAAGATTTAACATTGGCCTTTTATGCAGCTCCAATTTCCTTTTTATTGGGCAGTTGTCAAAAGGAATCTCAAAAACTTCTTCAAGTGGTTGGTGCTGAACTTTTCTGAATGGGCAATTGATTTTCCTACGTTTTTTTAACAATTGTGTCTTCATATTGACGAAATCTATTTGCATCTTTTGATCTTCCACTGAAATTGAGAATCATGAGTAATTATTGAATGTTTACTCCTAGAAATAGCTGTCAATTATAACAAACATTGGAGATGCACAAAAACTTACCTTGTTTTATCTTCATAGGTAGCCAATATGGCACCAAAACAATCCCCAGTGCACTATTAAATGAGGATAATAAATATTCGTCATAAATTCTTGATTTGCAAATCAGTCCATAAATCGACTACAAAGTTAGGGTGAATTAGTAGTCTCCATGATATTTATATTTATATATAAAACACCAAAACTAACCAAATAATTGTTTTCACAAAAGCAAATTGGATATTTTTTATCTAGCTTTGTATTTTTCCCTTTCAAGCATAGTGCGAGAAATTTAAATGAATTTATTCAAATTCCTGTGTCTTCACTTTTATAGTGTGTTATTGTGTATAACCTATTGTAAATATTTACCAAAATAATATCCCGAAGATCCCAATCTTCTTGCTGCATAAGTACAGTTAAAAAATATGTTGCATTTGGGAGGAAAATTCTTTTGACCGCATCAATTCCAAGAAAATATATAACATTCAAGAGAGGTAGAACATTTTGTTCGCATTTTAAAATCAATTCTTGGTTCACTCTGATCAGAACCATTTCTTTTAAAGGTTCTCTCATACACAATAATGCCAGAACTGAGCATATTGGTTTTATGATGCCTCTTGTTGTTTTTAGAATGAAGAGTCTTTGTAGCATAACATGTACCAAAAGTTTTAATTGCTTCACTGGAACATTTACACTTGGCAGAGGGCTATTTTCTAAAACCTCCAGTAACTCCAATGCCTTTAGGGTAAGGTCATCATATGCATTATACCTTGTCATAAGGAGGTAAACAAAGTGATAAAACCAATTTGTTATTGGTCCAATAGATGAATTTTCGCTTATATCTTGCAATGCTGCTCTCTTAAGCTCATAGTCATCACTCACAAATGCTTGACACAATGTAGTAAAATATTCTCTAAAACAATTTTGTCTGTCATTGATATTCATATTTACGTCAGAGTACCATGTGGCTTCTAAAATAATATCTGCTTCTTGGCCGTAAACATTATCTTCTTCAGCTAGTTCTATTAAATTCACTTTAATTTCCTGCAAAAAATATATTTTACAAAATATCGACAAACAAAAATTACAAATTAAATGAATTTATTTTTTTAAAGGAAAATTCATACACACGGATAACATAATATTCCATTTCAATGTACCTTCAAGTCATTTCAGAAACTACATAATTACACTCAAATTGTTTTTATCGTAATGTTAAAGTAACAAATTTACTGTCTGCAATTTTCAAAATAGTCCTGCTGTACATGTTTGTTTTTTTCTTTTCCCAATGGCCATAACATACATCCAATGAACATAGTGTTAAGTAGATATGGATACCATGTCCCCTTTTTTAAATGGAACGAAAATGAAATATAAATATAAAAAAAATATAATTCACGTAGCCTAGCCTATATATCTTACTTTTTATGAGTAAACGAATAAAAATATAGATCTTTTTTTAATGAACGAGTAAATAACTAGTACCGGTAAAGTTCTTAAATTGTTACAATTACATTTCTCTCAGTAAAGAAAGTAAATTTGTAATGCAAAATATCCAGAAAGACCCATTACAAGATCCACAGTGAGTAAAATTGAGAGAAAATGTATAAAAACAGGGCACGTAAAAGATCGTCCATGGCCCTGTCAATTAGAAGTTGAAGATAATCCCTCATTGTGCATCTTCTGAAGTAGCTTCAAATTATGTTAGCCAACCAAAAGCTTTCTGTGTATTAAGAAATGAAAGGTATTATCCGTACAAGATTACATTACTAAAGGAGCTGAACGAATATGATCCGGACCAGAGACTACAGTTTTCTGAAACTATGATGCAAATCAACCTAATATGCCAGATAGACAGATGTGGTATCAACAAGATGGTGCTCCGATCCATTTTAGTCGACAAATGGGTGAATATTTAAATACGGTATTTCCCGGACTGTAAATTGGTATAAAGAGATCAACAGAATGGTTTGCAAGATCTCCGGATATTACTCTACTGCATTTTTTCTCTTTCTGGATATTTTGTGTTAAATTGCAAACATTTTCTTGAGTTCTTGTTTTGTCTCCTCAAATAAAAATAAAAATTTCAATTCTCTGAATTTCAGTTTGGATGCGCCATATTCACTTTCTTTATTGACAGAACTGTAATTGTGTCAACTTTCGAACTTTAATGATACTAACCACTTACCTATTTGCTTTAAAATTAAATTTCTGTATTTTATTCTTCTGCTTTAGATTATGCAGATAGGTTTAGGGTATGCTACAGGAATTATGTGTGAAGTTCGACACAGAATTTGAAAATGGATTTCACAAAATAGTGTTCGATTAAAAAAAAGAACTTGGTATCAACTTTTTGACCAACCCTGTATATTTTCTAATTACTCCAAAAAATGGGCAAGAAAAAATTATGATAAACTTGAGCGAGCATTTTTCTTGAAATCCAGTCCCTAATTTTTAAATAAATTTGTTCCATATTTTAGCAGTTCACTGTAAACTTGTTTAATGTTAAAAAAAATAGTTTTGTCAGTTTCTTAAATTAAAATTGGCACACCACAATCTTTCGAATATTCAGCAAGCAATTGTCTCATATTTATATATTTATATTAGATTAAGTAACTGGCTGGCCCCTATGATTGGGAACACTTTATATGATATTAAAAATAAGTAGCCAGGTTAATAATGACACCAAATGTTAAAAGTTTTCCTATAAAGATAGTGCTTCTTAATGGACACCCTATATAATGGTGTCTTGTATGACGACATATCTTTAAAAAATGCTTACATCTAAAGCCAAGTGGTGCAAATTCTGATCTTCAAACTGTATCCAATTTGGATTTGCAGTGGCGCCATATATTTTTTCAATGTTTAAGTTATCAAACACTTCATCAACATCATCCGACGTTATAGAATTTCTCCCAAGTAATCGTGCCTGAATTAGTGAATTCTAAAAGGAAATTCCATAATGTTGAAATAGACGGAATTCACTTACAACCAATGTATTACATGAATTATGTAACGAAGTTTGTAGTTTATATCCTCCGCTAAAGCATCAAATGCAACATCAGAAACCTTACAGGATTCTCCATCAAAATGACGAATGGAATCTGCAGTAATACCAACATATCCTTTGGATTCCTGAAACAAAGTTTATATATAAATTTTATATTTTCACAGTTAATTTATTTTACTTTTGATGGAGAACTTTTGTTGCTTTCTGTAGGGTTTGCTGCGCTTTGAGACTGAGATTTTCTTTTTTCTTGATCTTTTGAATTCCTTTTGGATTTGGAGGATGATGTAGATGAGCATGCTTTTGAGGATTGCATTTTAGCATATATTAACACACCAGAAGACAGCAAACTTTTTCTCTTGACATACACAAGAGGGCAACCAGAACGTTTTTTCTATTTCAAGTTTTTATATATAAAAAAAAGAATGTACTCCGAAGGTTTGCAAAATGTGGCAAGGTTGTGAATAATAAAAACTTGGAGCCCCTTGCAATTTTGTCAATTCAGCTCATTGTAGTTTGACCAGGCCTATGAAATTAGTCCCTGTCCCTCGCTATAAACAGATATTCTCCATAAATAATATAATTTATATTTTCAAACACTTTTACGGGTTATGTCACAAAAGGACAAATAGCTTCAGTCGGCATATTTCTTACAATCAGAATTGCTCTGCTATGAAAAAAACAAAATTCTTTCGATGCTTTTGAAGTACGTACTGGGGGTTATTTACCGTGCATTTCTTGTTTGATATTTTGTGATGTAATTAAAATATGGGTCTAAGCTTTGGCCGAATGGTTGTCGTACGATTCGAGAACCGTAGTAAACAAAAAAAGATGAAGAACAAAGACCATGAATGTGACCTGACCTAAACTACTTTTTTTGTGGTAATATGTGTTGTTTTCGGTTAAGGTGGTGTCTAAAAATTATGCATGGAAAAATATGATGACACTATATTCCGAGATATCATCCGTTCCCTTGTTGAACTCCGACTGGAATCCTGTAGACGTTTCGCCAAAATCTCACTTGGCATCTTCAATGTATATATAATATACCATATATAATAATAATATAATTATATTAAAAATAAATACGGAGACAATGCAATTTTATTGCAAAAGCAAATTGTGTTAATTTAGAGGATAAATGTGAAAAAGCAAAAGGTGTAAAAAATATGTTATTCAAAATCTATTTGTTATATCTTTGATTGTTTTTGATTTTACACGCAATGCCCAAATATATTTTGAAAAAACATTTATTACAATCAAAATGTATCTATAACCTTTATTAGATTTTGCATACAGTTGCATTTCTACCAAAGCTGCTTGCCACACGTCATTTAATCCTTTAATAATAACTTTTCTTCTTTTTGGTTTATGAAGTTCATTTGCAACGTCTTGTTTAATCTTACTCATTCTCAACTTTACACTTTAAAACCAAACCTACATATATTTCGGATGGTACCTTATAAAGTTCAAAATTCGTTATCAGAATTGATAAAGTGTCCCCTTCATTAAATTTATATCCTATTAAATTTTGTATAGTGAATATCGTGTTATTTATTATAAGTTCAACACTTGGGTGGGAATGTGTAGTCTTTATTTCACCATTTGTTAAAGTCATACTATTCATACTCTAACGTCTAACGACACCATTCAACAATTGAAGTGTTTTATTTTTATTCTGTGCCATAATTGGTAGAACACAAAAATGAAACAACTCTTCATTGTTTTTAAGAATATGCTCTCCAAATTTATTTACTGTCTTGACTAAAACTGAGATAAATTTACAGAGTTTTATTTATAGTATAATCTCAGCTTCTTTAAGTTTTTCAATAATTGAAATTATTTCATTGTTATGTCCAGTATGTCCAGCATTTACTGACTCTGTTAACAGACGTAATCTATCAATAAGTTCGTTTACATCATCCCAGAAAACATAGTCAGTATTTTCCATTACAATTTTAAGACCTTTACCCCTACGTGTTAATCTAGAGGGTGGAGGTTTTCTAAATGCTTCACTAAATCTATGCAATACAATGTTTCTTGATTTTGTTACCCGTTTCTTCTGTAAATAAGGTCCTATTATATTTACATATTCGTAGGATCCTGTTTCTTCAACTTGTTCGTTGGGGTCATAGTTTCTACGTTATGCATTAGTTTTGGTTAATATCTCCATATAGTTATCTAAATCTTGTTTTTTACAAGCAACAGGTTCTTTTTTAAAAAGTAACCCATATAATCCCACAATGCCTGGATAAGTTACTCCTTCCACTCCTATATATTTAGCAATAATTTCAACAGGTCTTTGAGTCAATCATAGGAAAAAATTTTCAGTTTCAATGTCATGAACTATTCCATAATTGTGATCAAACTTGTGTTCAGTATCTTTCACACTGTCATCAATATATCCTCTTGGTAACTCAATCTTCCAACCACTCTTGATATGCAGGGGTGTCAACATAAGTCTGTATTGATTTTCTGGTTTGTTCCAGCATATCTGACAGATTTAAATTTTCTAATGTACTGGAACTTTTAGATTCCGGTGTAGTTTCGATTATAACACACGTCTGATTTGCAACACTGGTGTATATATCAATTTTGTGGTCCTGGTACTCAGTTGGAACAAAGACTAAATAGGGAAAACATCGGTATTAATAAATTAGACGCCGCTTGCAAAGACCACGACATAGCATATTCACAATCAGATAATTTAAAAAAAAAGACACGAAGCAGATAAGATTTTAGAAGAAAAATCTTGGAATCGAGTAAAACCGAAAGATGCATTGCTAGGAGAAAGAATTGCAGCATTAACAGTAGCGGGTATAATGAAAGGAAAAATTAAACTCGGTATGGATGTAAAGAAAGGTGGAAAATTGAAAAAGGAGAGAATTATTAAGACCCCTAAAAAAATAGGAGGCTTTTTACCTCTATTGCTCTTGGCGCTCTAGAAGGAGGAGCAGCTGGGATAGCTAAGACTGTAAATGATATTAAAGTCTCAAAAGAGCAGTTAGAAGAATTACGTCGTCATAACAAGGAAAGGGATTATTTATTAAACCATAAAAAACTGGTGCAGGTGTTTCCAAGGGAAAGGGGAAACCATACAAAGGGGGAAAAATATCTTTAAAAAAAAAGCTGAAATAAAATTTCCACGATGACTAACCAATATAGGTATATTACATTTAGTTAAAAAATTAGGTATACCACATTTTAGAGGAGTTTTGATGCGCTACAATCTTCCTACAAAAATCCAAATAATAGAATGTGGTATTATTAACTTGGACAATGAAAAATATGAAGGGACTCATTGGGTAGTCTACATGAAAAATACATCTTATGGAAACCTGAAACCACCTCTAGAATATCAAATTCTTCAATTCAAATGTTAAAGTATACTACAATCACGAAAGAAAACAAAATTATATAGCATACAATTGTGGACAATTGTCTATTGAATATCTAAATAATAATACGATACAAAAAAAATCAATCATTTAATTTCATTATGTCTACCACTATTGCAATAACAGGAAATACATCTGTATTATCAGCTGATTTTAATTCACCAATATATTTAGATTTTAGCAATATTACTTAGGATTGGCAGACTTCGAATCATTTATGAGTATTCCTAATGTAGGACGGAGCAACAATAAGTTGCATGTAGGTGATAAAGTAGTAGAGATTCCTGAAGGAACTTGTGATATTTCCGATTTATCAGAAGCAATAAAAAATCTTATTCATGAGAGTTTTGGAATTGAAAGAGTTGTGTTTTTATTAATATCAAATGTAAATACATGAAAGTGTCAGACATTTTGTAGTAAATCATTCGATTTTACAAAAAATGACTCGATTGGATCTCTGTTATAAAAAAAGAGTCATTGAACCAAACCAAAATAGTAAACATAACTAAAGTAAATGCAATCTGCATCGATTGTAATATTTGTGTTGGTTCATTTAATAATGGAAAGCCAGTTCACGTAATTCATCAGTTTTACCCTGCTGTGACTCCAGGGTATAAAATAGTGGAACCGCTTTAACTCACACTATATTTTCCAGTTAGCGTTAAAACAATCAACAACATAACTATAAAAATACTTGATCAGGACGGAGATTTGATAAATTTTCGAAAAGAAACTATTACAGTAAGATTGCATTTAAAAAGCGAAAATTTGTAAAATGGTTATTAGATATAATAGACCATTCATGTTTAATGAAGAACTAAACATATGTAAAAAGAAAATAAGATAATACAAGAAAATCGTCAATTTCTCGAATCTTCGGGGCTTAAAGTTTTAATATAATGAATATTTTAAATGTCAATGAAAAATTTTATGTAGACAATTCAATTGTAAGCTCAGAACTTCACAAGTATCAACCATTTGTATCTTCGAAATTTGAGTATAGTGGTGAAATACGAATACCAATTCAAAAACTGGATACATTCACATTACCTTCCGAAAGTATGTTATATATTGAAGGAAAATTGTCCAACACGGATGGGAAATATACCTACCAAAAAATTAAGGTTCATAAATAATGGAGCCGCGTTTTTATTTAGAGAAATTCGATATGAACTGAACGGAATTCTAGTTGATGATAGCGCAAAGTTTAATATTTCTATACCTTTAAAAATGCTTTTGGGATTTTTTGAAGACTATAAAAAAATTATTTTAAACATGAAACCAGAACTAGTTTTAATAAGAGCTAGCAACGATGTAGATGTTGAACCACCTACTGCGGAAGTCCCAAAAGTAACTTTAGATAAACTATATTCGAAAATACCTCATATAAAAGTTGATATCCCACAACAATTAGCCTTAACTAAAATATTGGAATCTTATAAAGAAATTTTATTGGGTTTTAGAAGTTGGGAATTAGTTGAATACTCATCTCTGACTGAAACAATGCGACATGCGACATCAACAAACTTGAAACACCTCAAGTTATTATCGCTTTTCAGGAAGATAGGAAAGGTCAGGAAAGTAAAAAACGATATGAGTTAATTTGATAACGTTGATGTTACTAACATAAGAGTATTTCTAAATTCTGTAAGATATAAATATCATGACTTGTATTTGAATTTTAAAGACAACAAATATACCGATTTATACGAAATTTAAACGAAATGTTTGAAAATTTCATAAATTCTTATTACGGTCTCATAAATGAACCGATTTTTTCACCTGAATCGTTTAAACAAAAATGTCCTATTACACATATTGATTGTTCACATCAAAAAGAATCTCTTCGAACGGGCTCTGCAGTAATAAGAGTTGAATTCGAACAGTTTACTGTCTTATTCTAATGATAAACTATTTAGCTAGAATCCCTTAACAAAAATAGTCAAACAGCTTTAATACTATACTAAAACAAGAAGAAGTAATGTGTATGATGATGAAAATTGCTCAGTCAATTCCATAAGAAATAATTTTGCATTGTCAAACAATTTCCATGATGTGGAGGATTCAAATAAATTAGAAAAATGGATATCTGATATTGAAGCTTTATTTATCTCTTTTGTTACGATGTAGCAACTTGCATCTTTTGATTTTTGCCCAAAGGTCATTGAGAGGCATTGCTAAGCTTTTTGTTTAAAGTTGAAGAGGATTAATTTCTTGGCAATTGTTAAAAACGTTCTGTTAGTCGAAGTAATATATTATTTCGCAACAGTTATTCAATTTTGCTTGACCAAACTATAACATTTACAAAAAAATACACATTAAAACAGTCGACTGGATGCCCAAGCAAGTTTGG